TCAGTTACATATCCAAGTACTCGACCTTCAGACCCAGAGTTTTGATGTCAACGGAAATCCTTGATGAGGTTAACCAAGCTTATTATAGACACCTGCCTGCAATTGATTTTACTTACTGCACAGAGAATCAGATTTATTTAACCGTGCAACTAAAGTACAGATCATTCCGTTCGCTAAACAGAGAGTCCTTAATATAGTTAATAGTTTTAAGTGGGGCAACAAATTCATGTAGGGGGAAAAAAAAAACACTGGATATCCTAACATTCCAACACCACAGAAGTCACTTCATTATAAAATTATTAAAACATGTCCACTCTTATTAACAAAGCAAGAAAATGGGTGTCTAATTTCTCAATAGTCACATAAATATTTAGGCTTTATTCAGCGCTCCAATAAATCCAGTAAAGTACCCACAATCCTGTCGCTCCAATACAACCACCCAGTACTCACAATCCTGTCGCTTCAATACAACCACCCAGTACCCACAATCCTGACCGCTCCAATACAACCACCCAATACCCACATTCCTGATTGCTCCAATACAACCACCCAGTACTCACAATCCTGACGCTCCAATAAAACCACTGAAGTTCCCACAATACTGACCGCTCCAATACAACCACCCAGTACCCACAATCCTGACCGCTCCAATACAACCACCCAATACCCACATTCCTGATTGCTCCAATACAACCACCCAGTACTCACAATCCTGACCGCTCCAATAAAACCACTTAAGTACCCACAATCCTGACGCTCCAATACAACCACCCAGTACTTACAATCCTGACCGCTCCAATGCAACCACCCAGTACCCACAATCCTGACTGCTCCAATGCAACCACCCAGTACCTACAATCCTAAAACTCACAAGGAAGCATCCAGTACCCACATTTACTACATCTCCCCCAACTCCAATCACCCAGAACCTGCAATCCCAGCTTCTCTTCCCAATCTTAAACACTCATCACCCACACATTACCTCATATCCCCAGAGCCCACACTCCCTCCATCTCCACTCCTACAACAACCACTCAGAGTGTATACTCCCTAACATGCTTATTTCCTAATGCCCCACATCAGTGTAGGCCGTTTATTATTCTCCTTTGGCTTTATTTCTCATGGTAGCTCTGTTTGGAATGGAGATAAGCTGTACAAAAAAGATGGTTTGCATCTTTCTCAAAAGGGAACAAATGTTCTCAGTGAGCAGTTCAGAGGTTTTGCTAGGATGTATTTAAACTAGGAGGGGGGGGCAAAGGGTGATAAAACATCAATCCAATTGTCCCCCAAAACAAGGACAGAAGGTGCCTGTAGCAAGTGTGTTAAAAAATGATAAGCTTAGAGTCATGTCTACAAATGCTCGCAGTTTAAGGAATAAGATCCATGAACTTGTGGCAATAATGGCAACTGATAGTGTAGATTTAGTCGCTGTTACGGAGACATGGTACAATGAGAAAAATGACTGGGACATAGCAATACCAGGGTACTCTTTATATAGGAAAGATAGGGAAGGCAAGAAAGGGGGAGGGGTGGCCTTGTATGTGAAGGATAGCATAAAATCCAGCCTAATAAAAGTTAGTGAGGTAAAACATAGAGTCCGGCTTTGGGGCTGTATGCTAGAATTTGGTAATCACACACAGTAACCTCGCGGTAGGTGTAATTTATAGGTCCTCGACAAATTGAAGAGTTAGATAATCTACTAGTTGAGGAAATAGCTAAAATGACAATGAAGGGGGAAGTTATCATCATGGGTGACTTTTAATCTTCCTGATGTAAAATTGGAAAATGTAAAATTAGCTACTTGTGCCAGGAGCACAGCTATGCCCAAACTCCCTACTGGGATTGTCTCTAAAACAAGTTAAGCTGGAGGAGCCAACTCAGAAGAGGCCATACTAGATTTAGTGTTAACAAATGGAGATTTGGTATCAGATGTTACTGTAGGTGAAAGTTTAGGATCCAGTGATCATCAGTCAGTGTGGTTTAATATAAGAACAGTGACTGAGTCACACCACACAAAAACAAAAGTTTTAGACTTTAGAAAAACAGACTTTTCTAAAATTAGAATATGGGTAGAGTAGTCATTATCAGACTGGAGCAATTTAAATGGAGTCCAAGAGAAATGGGATTATTTAAAAGTTGCACTATTGAAGGCAACAGAAAATTGCATTAGGCTTGTCAGTAAAAGCAAAAAATTCAAGAAAACCACTGTGGTACTCTGCAGATGTGGCCAAAATAGTTAAAACAAAAAGTTAGCATTTAGAATTATAAAACCCAGAGTGAGGGAGACAAAATGATCTATAAGATTAGCAGAAAGAGTACAAGCAAAGTTATAAGAGCTTCCAAATCACACACAGAAGAGAAAAATACTGAAGCATTGTGTCAGTAAAAAAGGGGATACAAAACATTTTGTGATACATAAATGAGAAAAGAAAGTAAAAACAGATTAGTTAGGATTAAAACAAAAGAAGGAAGGTATGTAGAAGAGATAAAGGCTATCAGGCTGACTGCCCTAATGAATATTTTTGTTCTGTATTTACAGAAGAAAAATGAAGGAAAGGACTTCAAAGGAGAAAAAGGATAAATTAGTCATTTATTACACGCGAGTTTACAGAGGAAGAGGTTCTATTTCAACTGTCAAAAGTAAAGACAAATAAGTCAATGGGACCTGATGGAATACCCCCAAAGCTATTAAAAGAGCTTAGTGGTGTACTAGCAAAACCATTAACAGATTTATTTAACCAATCATTGTTAACAGGAGTAGTCCCAGAAGATTGGAAGTTAGCCAATGTTGTGCCCATTTACAAGAAAGGTAATAGGGAGGAGTCGGGCAACTATAGGCCAGTAAGCCTTACTTCAGTAGTGGGGAAAAGTGATGGAAACCATGTTAAAGGATAGGATTGATGAACATCTAAAAACACATGGATTTCAAGATCAGAGACAACATGGGTTTACTTCAGGGAGATCATGCCAAACTAATCTTATTGATTTTTGATTGCAACTAAAATTATATAGATCAGGTGGTGTGCAGACATTGCTGCTACCTAGACGTGCAAGGCTTTTGACACTGCTGCACATAGAAGGCTTATCAATAAACTGCAATCTTTAAGTTTGATTCAAATAATATTGTTGAATGGGTGCAAGGCAGTGGCTGAGTAACAGGCAACAGAGGGTTGTAGTCAATGGAGTATATTCGAAGCTTGGGCTTGTCACCAGTGGGGTACCTCAGGGATCTGTACTTGGACCCATTCTCTTTCCTCTTTAATATTTTTATTAGTGATATTGCAGAAGGTCTTGATGGTAAGGTATGTCTTTTTGCTGATGATACTAAGATATGTAACAGGGTTGATGTTCCAGGAGGGATAAGCAAAATGACAAATGATTTAGGTAAACTAAAAAAATGGTCAGAATTGTGGCAACTGACATTTAATGTGGATAAGTGAAAGATAATGCATCTTGCACGTAAAAACCCAAGGGCAGAGTACAGAATATTTGATAGAGTTCTAACCTCAAATATATGAGGAAAGCGGGATTTAGGGGTGATTATTTCTGGATGACTTAAAGGTAAGTGGCAGACAATGTAATAGAGCAGCAGGAAAATGCTTAAAGAAACGTTTTGGTTGTATAGGGAGAGGTATTAGCAGTAGAAAGAGGGCGCTCTGCGCCATTGTACAGAACACCGGTGAGACCTCACTCTTTATATTGCACGCAGTACTGGAGACCGGTGATGTTCAGTGAAGGATACGGATACCTTCTTAGAGAGGGTCTGCAGAAGGCTACTAAACTGGTTCGCTGGATTATGGATAAAACTTACCCAGGAAAGGTTAAAGCGATCTTTAACATGTATAGCTTGGAGGAAAGACGAGACAGGGGGATATGATAGAAACATTTAAATACATAAAGGGAATCAACACAGTAAAGGAGTAGACTATATTTAAAAGAAGAAAAACTACCACAACAAGAGGACATAGTCTTAAATTAGAGGGGCAAAGGTTTAAAAATAATATCAGGAAGTATTACTTTACTGAGAGGGTAGTGGATGCATGGAAAAGCCTTCCAGCTGAAGTGGTAGAGGGTAACACAGTAAAGGAGTTTAAGCATGCGTGGGATAGGCATAAGGCTATCCTAACTATAAGATAAGACTAGGGACTAATGAAAGTATTTAAAAAATTGGGCAGACTAGATGGGCCGAATGGTTCTTATCTGCTGTCACATTCTATGTTTCTATGTTTCTATGTTTCTATGTTTCACCTTTGGAAGATGTGTAATCCCCAGACCCAGCTTTTCCATAACTTATTTCATTGGTGGCCAGGGGTGCTCATCACAGGTGCATCACTTCCTGTGTGCGGCCGGCGGATGGGATGTCGCGGGCTAAGTCGCCCTTCTGCAGACAGCCTCAAGGCTGAGCAGGGAATACGTATCGGCCTAAACTGGAGGGTGGCCATAATGACGTCACAGTGCTCTGTGCATCAGCCCAAACCCTTTCAGCTAATGCACAGAGAACTATGAGGTCATTACTGCCACCCTCCAGTTTAGGCCATTGAGGACCTGATGCGCATGTGCTGTGAGTGCCATGCGAGCTTCCAAGCTTCACCCTTAGTAAAGCACTGAATCTGTGTCATAGGTGCCATGGAAGCGCCTCTAGTGGCTGTTACTAGAGGTGGATTTAACCCATCTCTAAAAAAAAACTGCAATGTTTTACATTGTGTGGGTAAAACCAAAAGACCACTGCACCTATACCTCTTCATTGAGACAAAGTGGCTGTTTTTTGTATCCTTCTGGCTTGACTATGTTTGACTGGGTAAACCTACTTTTTTATGGTATTCTTTGTCTGGCCCAACTGGTAAAGACTAGAGTTGAGCGAACCCGAACTGAAAAGTTTGGGTTCGTACCGAACATTACGTTTTTTGGACCCCGGACCCGAACACGGACATATCACTGTATGTTTGGGTTGGAGTTCGGAGTTTGGCGATTTACTGACGCGTTTTGAAAGGCTGCAGGGCAGCCAATCAACAAGTGTTTGACTTGTGTGCCCTTAGAAGCCATCTGTCACGGGTGGCGGCACGGAAACCGGGACCACTAAGTGCCTAATGAAAAGTTGGGAGTC